TTGTTGTACTCCTTTAGTCCTTTTGAGTGATATATATACGTTTCAGTTTATTAAAAAGAAAAAAAAAATTTGGACGGTTGAAATATTAAATGAAAAACGTGAAAGCGTATCATGATGTGTCACTTGGACGAGTTATACGTCACTCAAATGATAAAAAAATACTTACTCCTTCAATTTTGTTTGTAAGACATATTTAATTATATTTATTATTTAAAATATAAGATATATTATGATATTTAAATTATTTTTTAATTTTATTTTTTGATTAATATAAAAGTGTTATTTTATTATTATTCAAAATGTAAAGTGAAACGGTTGAGATGTGGAGCGGAGGAGTGCCTTTTCCCCACGTGGAGTTTTCCCGAATCACATATCTCTTCTCAAATCCCTCCTGTTCATTGGCGTAAGAGAAAGGGAACAGGGGCTTCCCCGACTCATTATTCCTTTCGAAATTACCAAATGACCTTACCAAGCGAGCGCGTCTGTTGGTGGGGTTTTGTTGGAGAGAATTAGGTCTATAAATTCCTAAAAGCTGTGAACGGCTTGATACGCTCATCGCATTAATCAGCTTTAACCTTCCCACCATTTGCCATCTTTTCTCTCTGAGCGACCAAATTTTTCCAGATTCTTTATTCGTTTTTTCTCGAACCTTCATCGAGATCGCGTGTCCGCAGCCGTCCACCGACACCCAAATCGATATTTTCTGCTGCTTGTTGTTCCGAAATTTTGCCGATTGAGGCATCAGAATCTGTAATCGATCGATTACAGGGCCTGTATTGGTTGAATTTGGAAATTTAGTCGCATGAACTGGTTCGGGAAGCTGGGTTTATTCTCCAATTTGAATTCTGATCACTTCATTACTTGTTTGTTAAATTTTCATCCTCCATTTTTCACCTCAATTTCGTTCTTCTCTGTTTCAATCTGAGAAGAACACCGTGGAGTGGTCATTAATTAATATTAATAGTAATACCGATTTTAGTAGTGGAATATCTTCGCAATATGGACTCTCGAAAGAGTAATCCCCAAATACGCAGAGGTTTGTTTGTGATCTTCTTCTTTTTTTTTTAATTGTAAATTTAAAGTCTCGTCAAGTGTTTCTTTGTTGCATTTCACTTAATTTGATTTCAGCTGGTATGTGATATATATTTTGACAGAATCACTTCGGTGATCGGAATGGAAAAATTATAAAAGCTTAGTCTAACTTGTAAACAGTGTGAGCACGTGCATCTGTCGGTTTATTTTTCTTCATTTTGTTGCCCTTTGGTATAGGGCCGTGGATTTTAAGAATCGAGTTGAAAATGGGTGATCTTCTTTTTTGACACTTAATGAAGATCTTTTACAGAGGCATAATATATTAACTGTTGAATCCCGCTAAACTCCGTTTGAAATTGAAATTATAGTTGATCTTGTCATATGGGAAGACTGTTTTTAGTTTGGTTTGTATCCTATTCGTATTTGATTTTGAGTTTGTATATGTTTTGGTAGCATGTGATCTATTTTAGCAGAATCGCTTTGGTGATCGGAATGGAAAAGTTATAAAAACCTTTAGTCTAACTCAAACAGTGCGAGCACGTGCATGTGTCACTTTAACTTTTTTCTTTTTGTTTTGACTTAGTGATAGGATCGTGGATTTTAAGAATCTAATGCAAAAAAGTGATCTTCTTATGTGAGCCTTATCGAAGAACTTATGCGGAGACAATATATTTACCAACGAATAACCCGCAAAAACTGATGTTGAAATTAGAATTAAAATTGATCTTGTCATATGGGCAGACTTTTTTTGTTGGTTTGTGTCCTATTCATATTTGAATTACATCTTACCATGTCAGTGTGTGGTTGAGTAGTACTTGATCACTTTGTTATTGGTATACTGCTTAAATCACTTCATATGTAATTAGGAATTCCCATCTTACAGAATCTTGGAGTTTGTCTCCCTGAGTAATGATGTCCGGAGAATCGTCTCTTTTGATATCGTGAAACAAAAATTTCTAATTTGAGCTGTGTCTTCTGATGCTAACTGGGTCTTGGCTCTCTCTTTCTCATACTTATTTTTCTCCCTCCCGCAGCTCTTTGCTATGCGAATGTTAATGGGCAGCAGGAGAGGTCACCATCTGTTATTGTCATAGGTGGTGGAATGGCTGGGATCGCTGCTGCTCGGGCACTTCATGATGCCTCATTTCAGGTATTTAAGCAAATTTAATGAAACTGCTGTCATCCACGCAACTATTTTGTAGCTTGCTTGACTTGTATGGTATATAAAGGAACGATCTGTTGCCTGAGTCTGACTTGCAACTAATTTACATGAATTTAATTCTCTGCACTTCTGATTAGCTTCATTAGTTTTATTATAAATTACAGGTATAGAATTCCTGCATACAATAAGTTATCATAATCGACATAATGTTTTACAAGACCAATCATGCTATTATTTCATTTTCTGCTGATGTTTGACTGTAATCTGTTCTGTCGGTAAGGTTGATCATGTAGATGCCTTACTGCTTACAGACAATGATATTGGGCGATACAGTGATAATCCTTACATGCCCTCAATGAGAAATTATAGTGAATCTACTGATTTGGAAGTGGCTGGTATTCTATTCAAGTCAAATTAGACCAAGTTCATTGAGCATTTATTATTTAATGTAGGGGGCAGCTTACCCCTTATTGTTTTGATGTTCTTCTTCTTCCTCCTTGCTCCCAATCCTTTTGAAAGGAAATTGACATGAAGACAAGGACATTTGATTTTTTTCTTTCTATAAGATTCACATTTGAGGACTTAAAACTGCACATTTGTAGAAGTATCCTATTGATCTTTGCAATGTCCAACTAATTTTCTAGCATAACGAGATGTTGACATTCATGACTCATTGCCAATATCTATATGGTTAATTGGTGCATTTTTTTTGATCAGGTTGTTCTCTTGGAGTCACGGGAAAGACTGGGGGGCCGAATTCACACTAATTACTCATTTGGTTTTCCTGTTGACCTGGGGCATCATGGTATACCATACTTATCCACTGTATTTTTCTTTGTCCTAATCTGTTGTGTCCACAAGGCACCCAAAAAAAAAAAAAAAAATCCTTTTTTTACCTTGAAATGGAAAATCATTATTGATGGTTCAGGTTGCATGGAGTATGCAAAGAGAATCCGCTGGCTCCAGTGATTGGGAGGCTGGGGCTCCCCTTATATCGAACTAGTGGGGATAACTCTGTCCTATATGACCATGATTTGGAAAGGTAAGTATTTGGTTTCTCCCTTTCTTGCTGTCACATAATTCTGCTAGTTACATGGTTGATGTGCTATTCGAAGTTTTTTCACTACTGTAGTTTTTTTTTTTTTGCCCCCCACCACCCATGTGTTAGAAATTTTTGTTTACAAGTTCTCCTTGACGAATATTCATCAACTTGGCTTTTGCAGCTATGCTCTCTTTGATATGGACGGAAATCAAGTTCCCCAAGAATTAGTGAAAAAAGTTGGTGAAGGATTTGAGACAATTTTGCAAGAGGTTAGTCATCCTTTTAATTCATAATGCATTGGAATATATGATTAATTGCATTATTTTGGACAGAAATTTTTCATGGAATGCTATGCTATTCCATTTGATTACTTCCGTCTAATTCTATAGGGCTATTGTGAGCACTCTATCTAATGATTGTCCTTGACATAATGCAGACTGATAATGTAAGGAAGGAATTCAGTGAAGACATGTCTGTGCTCCGTGCTCTTTCAATTGTTTTTGAAAGAAAGCCTGAATTAAGGTTGTTACCGGAATAGAACTGAGATCTATTCACATTATCTGTTTGTTTTGTTGTTTGTTTTTTTTTTTTTAACTTGAGGGTAAAGTAATGAGAATGCGAACATCAACTCTTGGGTGCAGGTTAGAGGGGCTTGCCCACAAGGTACTTCAGTGGTATTTATGCAGAATGGAGGGTTGGTTTGCTGCAGATGCTGATACCATATCAGTGAAATGTTGGGATGAGGTAATTTGAAGAATATAAGGATGGTTGAATTCTTTTTTTAACCTTCGTTATTGCCACCTTCTTTTTTAAAGCAGGAAAAAGAGAAAACTACTTCACCATGTCATTGATTGATGGCAGGCAGAGAGATATTAAAATCTGCACTGATTGTGTTTCTTTTCAACTCTTTTGTGTAGACTTTTTCTGGTTGGCTCTAAATTCATTGAAACAACCTTTGCTTGATTGGAGTGAAAATGAGCAGGAAAATGACAATACATTTAATTGTGTCCTTTACATTTCCATGTATCTCTTTACATTTTCTCTTGATTCAAGTATAGCCTTATAGTGTCTACTGATCATACAGTTGTATCCTGCAAAAATAAGGCTGGAACACAGAGGTCTGGTTTTAAACCATATTATCTATAGGCTAAAAAGGTTCATAATTGTGGATACAGCTGTAGTGGACAGTTGCACAACTAGCAGCTGCATTTAACAATATTAATTCTCACACTATGGTACTTGCCACGTGCTGGTCCTCTTGGTTTTCACTCTGAATTGTATCAGAGCTTGGTAAACCCATAACTAATGAAAGAGTAGAACTTGATGCATGGCTAGGAAATCAACTCTAAGTCTTGGATTCTGGAATATCTCACAAGAAACTTTTGGGGATATAAAACAGGACGAAATGCAAGTATGAAAGTTAAAGGGTTGAATTTTTATGTTTACTCAAGTTCTTATTTGTTATTTGTTAAATCTGAATTTGCATCTCTTAAATACTGTTACCTTTTTTGCTCTGTATTTAACACACTGAATGATCTATTCTCTTTGGTGTTACATACAGGTAGCTCCTGTAATGAAAGAAAAAAATTGTAGAGTCGTCTCATAGCCAGGTGCATGAGTCTTCACCATGCATCCTTTCTATGACCGATAAATTATGTAAACTTTCCATAGTCATCATATAGGATTATGTATCACAATGACATGCGGAGAGATTAGTTTTGAGGATGCCCATTGACTCTTGGTGCTACAATGCTTGTGGGAATAAATAAAAATTTTATTTTGGGCGAACTGCTCATCATGTGGTGCAAAATGATTGCCAACACGGTGATGATGGAGTGACTGTTCCTTAACATTTGCAACAAAAGCCAGTTGAATGCCAATAGTCATTACATATAATCCCCAGTCTCTTTAGCATTAATTGGTGATACATTTTTTTTTTTTTTGGATGGAGGGGTGATGTGTGGGAATTTTCTTTCACCTGCTAGTAAAGAAGTGGTTAACCAACCTTATGGTCTAGTGTTTGAGATGAAAAGAGAGCATTTAGTTAAAGTTCGAGAAGTTTTTGTTATCAGGTTTTCCTATGAAAATACAGCATGTTATTGATCCTTTAAATCCTTTAAAAGAGGTTTCTTCGCGTCATAATTTATTGAGGAACCTGGTAGCCAACGCTTGGGAATTTCATCTAAGTTTTATTGAAGGCTTGCCATCTACATGTTTAATTGTCATAATAGACTTAGACTGGGAATGACTTCATATAGAGGCCATAGTAGTAGCAGGTGCTAGAAACCTCTGAATTTATTTATTTTCTTTTCTGTTCTATTTTTTTTTTAAATTATCTCTTATACATCTCTTAACATGCACTCACAGGAAGTGCTGCTCCCTGGTGGCCATGGTCTTATGGTTAGGGGCTATCTCCCTGTTATACATACCCTTGCCAAGGGTCTTGACATTCGTTTGGGACACAGGTATAGGCTAACTTGAACATTTATTTGGATGTGTATGTCCTGTTATGCTTCTTAACTAAATTAACTAGCATTGGTAATACTTCTCTTAGGGTCACGAAAATAACAAGGCGATACAATGGAGTAAAGGTGACAGTGGAAAATGGGAAAACATTTGCTGCAGATGCTGCTATTGTTACTGTTCCTCTGGGGGTGCTCAAATCAAAGAGAATCAAGTTTGAGCCCAAGCTCCCTGACTGGAAAGAAGCTGCCATTGCTGATCTTGGGGTGGGGATTGAGAATAAAATAATTTTACACTTTGGAAATGTTTTCTGGCCGAACGTGGAGTTCTTGGGAGTAGTTGCAGAGACATCTTATGGATGCAGTTACTTCCTTAATCTCCACAAGGCAGCAGGCCATCCTGTCCTTGTATACATGCCTGCTGGGCAGCTGGCCAGAGACATTGAGAAAATGTCCGATGAAGAAGCTGCAAATTTTGCTTTCACGCAACTGAAGAGGATACTTCCAGAAGCTTCCTCACCGGTAAATATACATGCTTCGTTTGTTTTTTACTTGCAAGAAACATGAGCCTCTGTTCCAATTACTAGGTTTAGGCTTAGCTACAGGAATTCTAATTTTGATGCTTTCTGGCCTTATTCAGAGAGACAAATAAGTCTAGTATGATCTACTTATCCTATGGTATGGTTTTGCTCTAATCTTGCAGATTCAGTATCTTGTTTCTCGGTGGGGCACAGAAATTGACTCACTAGGTTCTTATAGCTATGATGTGGTTGGAAAACCCCATGAACTGTATGAGAGATTAAGAGTCCCGGTAGACAACTTATTCTTCGCAGGGGAAGCCACAAGCTTGAGCTACCCTGGGTCTGTGCACGGTGCATATTCCACTGGAATGATGGCTGCTGAAGACTGCAGGATGCGGGTTCTGGAGCGTTATGGCGAGCTAGATTTGTTCCAGCCGGTGATGGGCGAGGAGTCATCAGTTTCCATCCCACTTCTGATCTCTCGTATGTAAACTAATCCTACATCAGAACTTGGTCAACACTTCAGTTCTGTTGTGTTTGGCTTGATTTTGAGGGAGGTATAAATCTGTGTGTCGGTGTTTGTCGTTCATGGTATTGTGTAGTGCCTTTGTGGTCTCTTAGTTGTGAACTGATTGTATTATATATGTATTCAATAGGTCTTGGCATTCCTAGGCTTGGATTGGATGGAGGGAAAAATGGAAGAAAATAGAGAGGAGAGAAAACTAGGAGGGGAACTTTTTAAAAATAGTAAATTTTTTTTTTTTACTATATTTAGGAGCGTTTTCTCGTAGTTTTCCTTCTTCCTTATATTTTTGTCCATCCAAATGAAGGCCTAGGGTTTGTGTCATGCCTCATGGAAGACTCAAAAATGCATCTTTTCTTTTGTTTCAGGATGTAGCTGTGTTTTTTTGGGCATTTTAGAACGATGGATACTCTATGCTATTTTAGTTATGAATAAGCTTTTAGTATTGGGAGATATTTAATGATACCGCTTAAAGTATTTGTGAATTGAGAGTTATCGATAAATCTTTATCCTAGGCTTGGATTTGATATGCCACGTTATTCATTATCAATTTAATAACAGCTTTTTTTATTCTCATTTAGGAATCTGTTTGACAGTATGTTCTAATTGCGCGATGTCGATGCTCTCGTGCTGTGAACGTCAAAAGTCAACTAGAGTTTAAAAGACCAAAATCTATGTTCCCTCCTTAGAATTAAGGGTTTGTTTAAAATTATTTTTGTTTTATTATTTTAAAAATTGATATTTTACAGAATATATTTTGAGAATACAAAATAATAAAATTGTGTTTGTTTTTTGTTTTTTTTTGTTCTCCAGAATAATAATTTTAAATATTTAAAAGTTATTTCTATTTTTTTATTTTTCATAACAATATTTTTTTTTCAAAACATTTTTTAAAATAACATTACCGAACAGATTATTTTTTTGTTTTTTTTCTTTGAAAAATATAAAACTGTTTTTTAAAATATTTTATAAAAATATATTATCAAACAATTTTATTTTTATTTTTTTATTTTAGAAAACATAAAATTGTTTTTAAAAATATGTTGTCAAACAAACCCTAAATTTCTGTACCCAAACATGACACAGGTACTGAAATTAACTGTGGCTCCTGCACTCAATAATTCAATGCCATAGTACTTCCTCTTTCCCTGTTTACTTGCCCTCAGAAAAAAACGCATGAAGTAAAAAGAAAATTTTTTTCCACCCTTCGTTCGTTTTTGGAGGAGAAATGATGATTTTATAATTTTTTTATAAGAAAAATTAAAAATACGAGAAGCATTCATTACATTTCTTTTCAAATTGTCTCTCATTACGGCAAAGTTTATTTTTGAGATAAACTTCTTCTATTTATTGTAAGAATAATTTAGTGCAAATTTTTTAATTTCAAACATAATTATCATATTTAACCAATTTTTTTAACAGTTGGTTAAAATTTGCTTGTATTTTAAGACGAACGGAGTATGTACAATGCAGGAATTATTTTTTCTTTTTAAGTTTTGCCCTCCATTTAATACCACACTATTTTAAATCTCAACTATCTCCATCCTGTCTGACGGAGGTATTATAGGAAACAAGTAATAACTATATCTTGAAATTGGGAATTTAGGTACAAAATGAAAAAGAAAATCAGAACAAGTAAATAGGACGAAGTAATAATCACAATGGAGCCAACCAGTCGTGCAGCTTCCTGGGCCCCTTCTCCCACACTTCTTCGCTTAAGCTTCATGGAAAGAGGAATTGTAAGTGTGTTACTTCCTAATTTACTGTATACTTTTAGACAAAATTATTTATATCAATACAACTTATTAAATATATTTTTTAATTTTATTTTTTTAAATAAAAATATAACTTTTTTAAATTTTTTATTTAGTATTTCATTTGTGAAAAAATATTAAAAAGAGAGAATATATAATAATGATAATATTATTCTATATTTATATTTTAAAATGAAAAAAATTAATTTTTTGATCCTTGTAGTTTTAACTTAATTGTAATATAATTTATGAACTTTGACTCATTATAATTCAGTTCTTGAAGTTATAACTAAATTATAAATTAATTTCTGAACTTTGCCTCTTACAATTTAATCTCTGAAGTTTCAATCCCTTAAATATTGATCCTTATATTTTATAATATAAATTTATAAGATTAAAATTTTTAAAAAATTTATTAATAATATTTTAAATTATAAACCCTTTTAATCTTTATAAATATTATAAATAATAAAAATTTTAATTTTTATAATTTTATTTTTTAAAATATATGGATTATATTTAAGAGGTTAAAATTTTAAGAATTAAATTATAAGACATAAAATTTAAAAATTAATTTATAATCAAATTAAAATTTTAAAAATTAAATTACAATGAATTAAAAATAAAAGATTAAATTATAACTGAATTAAAATTATAATGGTGAGATGATTAATTTTTTTTTTAAAATGCTAAACTATCTTTACAGTTCCCTGTCAATGCAGAAAACGAGGAGTGTATTGTTTCGACTTTCGATGAATGTGTTGAAAACGAGAAAGGAAAATTAATTGAAAATTGGCATTAATGTGATATTTTTGCTGTTCAACAACAACCGTTCAAGTGGCAGGTGGTTCATTCATGTGCCTCCCCGCAATTCAGGCGATTAGCTCAAACTAACATTCTCACATGGCCCACTCTCCATTATCGCGCTTAACCACTACGCTCTTACCATTATATTAATCATTGCTTCAGCTTCCCTTAATCATCGCCCAATCACTAACCTAAATTCATTAATTGTATTGACTTTTTAATCTCACCTACCATCTCAATATTACCTACCCAGTTTTTATTTTTTAACTCATTAGCATGTATTGGTAAAAAAAAAAAAACTCATTAGCATGTATTCCTTCCATCCTTATATATAAAATATATTTTTAATTGAATCAAGCATATTAATAAAATTTTGTTATTTAATTAAAATTTTATTAAGTCATAGTAATTTTATAATTTTATCCATAATAATATCAATTAATATCATAATGGTAATGGGTAAAGCATATAATTAATATCTTTTCCTTTTAAGATAAAGGCAAAATTATTTAATTATTTAAAAATATTATGATACTTCTTATATTTATAAATAAAATAAACTGTTAAAAAATATCATATATATATATATATATATATATAAGAATGGGGGGAGTAGCTCAGTTGATGCAAGACTGTTTTAGCTTAATTAGAAGTCTTAAATCTTAATCTTGAACCTGTAATTACATTAAATACTGGGTAGCGTTTTGTTGTCTAAAGGGATCCTATCGTATATACTTAGGCTATGGGAGATCTTCTAAGAATTATATCTATTATATATTTAATAAAAAAATAATACCAAAAAGTGAAAAAAATGTATAATCTATTCCTTATTAAGCAGTAGAATATAAATAATTTTTTTTGGATGGAGTTAAATATAGATTTTTTTTTTTGGAATGAACCTGTTATCATCAAATTATAAAAATCCAATCCCAACTCAATATATTGATGAACAAAATCGATTAGAGGACTAAAATAGCATCAAACATAAGCAACAGAATAAAAATGCAAGAAAGACAGACAGAGAGAGAGAGCTTTGTCCCAAGAGGAGAGAGATCACAAAATCATTCTACACCATACTTCTACCCTCTCCTCATATATAGCATTGGGTTCACATTTATAATTCTCTTTCATTTCTATTTTTCTTAACTGCATCATACAGAGCAGTAGAGGCACTACCGGCACTACCAGTCTTCTTGAATGATCCAAAGCCACGTGTCCTTATGAGGTCCCACCAATATTTTGAATACTCATGACACAACCATGCAAGCAAAAGCTGGAGGAAAAATGTCAGTTAAATCTTAAAATTTTGAATTAATGACAGTCAAATTTTCAATAATTTTTTAAAAAATTAGTTAAAAATATTCATATAAATAATTACAAATCTAAGGATTTTAATTATATATAAATATTTAAGTATTAAATGTAACTTTTAAATCAAAACAAAAATTTCTATTTATAACTATTTGAATCGATATTTATAATTTATTTTGTAAAAAATTTTGTTGGGGATGCAACTGTCATTAATTCAATACTCTTAGACCTAATTGTCATTCTTCCAAAAGCTTGAGAAAGACTAAAGATAATTAAACAACTTAGTCAGGGTTGTGGGTTATATTGGATCATCGAATTACTTAAACAGTCCTACCAGCACTAATATGGTGGTGCTTTCCTCAAAATGAGCATGCTTTGCAAAACTTATCAGCACGACTTTGATTGTGTGGGAGGGCAGCTCAGATGATCTAAGATTTTAGATCCCATTTTTGATGAATTGCTATCAAATGCTTGGAAAAGTGAATGGACTTGATGAGAAATGTGACCCACCTAGATTCGGAAAATATCTACCAGGACAATATCAATATTCTTCATCATCATTTCAAATATAATTAGGAGAATCATTTTTTAAAAAAATTATTTTGTATTCTTTTTTTTATTTCTATCCATTGGTCACAACGAGAAGTGATGTCACTTTTTAGAAGAAATTAATTATCCTTTTTATAAATATATTGTTAGAGGAATTACAATTACTTGATAATTTATATACTCTCTCCCTTCTTATATATAAAAGTAAGGGTGAATTACATACATGTTCCGTATAGTAGATTTATTTAGAATTAAGTACTGCAAAATTTGAAAATCACAATTAGATCCCGTAGGACCTGAGTGTAATTTAAAATTATATTATAAAAATAATAATACTCTTATTAAACATCCATGACATCAATCAAATAATTAAGTTACAACTACTTTATTAGTAATTTATTCCTATGATTTTAACTTTTTATAATTATAACTTTACATATCTAATAGTTAAACAATATATTGATAAATGAGTAAAACTATGTCCTGCTAAGTAAACATTCACATCTTAGAAACACATATGCGGAAAACATAAGATTTTCCAAGTCACAAAAATTTGTTTTCATTTTGAAAATGGTGGGGATTTGTTGAAATATTTCTAGGTGTGTCTCCAAAAGATAGACATAAAATTAAGCTATCTGAAAAAGTGTTGACCAAATTGTAATGTTGTTTAACTATGGGAGAGCACTAACTAAGCGTTGAAAATACCATTTTGTTGGTAATAAGTTGTTAGTTTAATTTAAAGGAAAAATAAAAACCTTTAAACTAACATAAGTTTGGGATTGAGTTTTAGGTTAATTGAAACTTGGCAGGTTAACTAGTTGTTAGGCCTGAGAAAAACTGATGTAATTTAGTTAATTATGGTTTATTCAAGATAAACATTTTTGGGATTTTCTTGTTTCTCTATATCTCTCATCTGGTACAAACAAATTTTTCAATGCACCACATAATGGAAGAATTCAGGAAGAATTACAATGAAGTTTTAAAAGAAGGAATTCATGACAATGAAGTTCCCAATAAAATTTGAATCAATAT